TGATTTGTATATAGTGCCTGCTAAAGCTATGTGGATATCAAAGAATTGTTTTAAAAATAAATTTATTATTTATTATCCATAAATGTTTGATTTGTGTAGCTTTTAAAAATATGCTTGCATCTTGGGATTTGCGCAAGAGATCTCCATTGAAGAAGGATGGCCAAGTGTGAAAATTTGGGAAGCCTTGCTATAAAGCGGTGCCTGTGTCTCATCCCACTTTTTTGTTAGTAACACCCAGGCTCAAAATTTTTTCTATATCCAAAGAACAAAGAAAAGATGGACTCCCTCTTTGCAATGGATAGAGATAAAATATGCGTAAGCTGTGTCACATTATTGGGAACCATGGGATAAATTCATTTCACTTCCATGTAAGTTGTATTTTCAAACAACATGATCTATATTTCCTCAATGTACAGACACCTTTACAAATATAAAGATTATCCTATGTTCCTTGTGTTTCCAATTTTTTGGATAGTCAATAAAGTTACACAGACATTGAGGGCTGGGATGGTTCATCTCAGTTGCCAACTTGAAACCTTGAACTACCACAGTGATGGGCTTCTGGGCATGCCTGTAAGAGAGTACCTTGGTCAGTTTACTGAGGCAAGAAGACCTGTCCACTGTGGGTTACATGCTCCGAGGGTTGGAATCCTGGACTATCTGAAAATGCAGAGGTTCGCTAAGCATCCCCTGCCTCATCTCCCTGGGCGCTGACGCGGTCCGAGCTGATACTTCCAGCTCTTGCCACCTCGGCTTTCTCGCCCTGGTGGTCTGTTCCTTCGCGGTTTCGCCACATCAGCCTCTGCCTCTTTAAGAAGCTTGTCTCAGCGTGCTTTATTATAGCACCAGGAAAGCAGGTGAGATGGAAGTTTTTTCTAGGCTCCCAATTAGCCCCATTATCTAGAGCCAGCCCACTTCACTGGAAAGCACATTGCCCGTATTATGTTAAATTGTAGCCAACCATTGTTCTAATGAAAGTGTGTCCACTTGCAGGACATCACAGACGTCTAAAGGAATAGGGAAGACGAGAAAAATAGAAAAAAACTGTTAAGAAATGCCATCATTTACAGTGTGAGCTGATTGACACAGGGCCTACGCTTTTCAAAAGATTCATACCTGTAAACCTACGCCTGATAATTCTGAACTATTTAACATTGAAGATTCACCAAACTTTCCAGAGGGTTGTTTGGATATTTCAAGCTGGCTTGTAAAGTCCCCTAAGGGCAAAGGTACACGTCAGAATTGTTCATACAGTGTCACTCCGGGCACTTGGAAACAAACCTGGTGTGTAAAAAGCACTGGATAAATGTTTTTTATGTGAACGCTGTCATACACGGGATGATTAACTTGGTCTGGCTGGCCAAACAATCGGTAACTCATCAGAGCATGACTGGGGAAGCAAATACCCCAGGACTCTTGCTCAAGGCCAGGTTACATAATGAGATTCTTGCCGGCCGTGTACGTTATCTGAGAATTATCAGAGATGTCAGCTTAACAAAGACACCTCAAATAGTTATCTTAAGAAGTCATTGCCTTCTGAGTGTCTAGGGAAACGGCACGTTTTGACAGAGAGCTACGACTCGTGATTTTAGATGTCGCCGATGAAATTACAGCGCTTTACCCTTACGTCTTTCCTCCATTTAGACGGTGCTTGGCGTCCATGGCTCTGAAAAGATCATGAAAGCAGCAACATCGGAATTGCATATGTGAGTTCGTTTCTCACAGAGAAGCAGCTCTTCTTACGTACGTCATTGTCGGTTCATATTTATGTTGTAAAAGATGACTCCTTTCATCATTGAAATTAATTAAGAGACACAGTGATTCATAGAACAGAAAAGTAGAAAATATCCGGAGTTAAGATGAGACAGACCAGCCAAACCCTACGTTTCTAAAAAAACAAACAACAAAAAAAAACCTAATAAACACCTGCTCTGCAAGTAGAGGTGGTGCCTCCAATTGCCTGGCACAGTTTTTGGCAAAGCCCAGGTTGAAGGATAGGGGAGGAAATGGAACAGGAGCTGCAAACGAGGAGGAGGAACTTCAAAATCCTGGTGTATATGGATGGTAGAAAAGGTGTTGCCAAACCATGGGCAGGAAACCTATCGGCTTGACTGTACAGGCCAACCTGACCACACCTGCAAAGCAGCTCACCGTCTCTTACGAGAAACTCAACTTAGATCAATCTTTCCACTGGATAAACTAGAAATTTTTTTGACATAGTAATAACCTCCTCTCAGTCCATGGGCTGTGGAATCAAGGAGCCATTGCTGTCATCTGAGCTTCACCACTGGCCAGATGAGTGGTGTGGCTCAAATCCCAGCTCTCTATAGACAGACCTGGAGTTCACACTTCACACTGGAGAACACCTGTGGACACCCAAGCACGGGGCATGGCCTGAGGGATAGTGTCCCAAACACACGCTGCTGCTGCTGTGTGTCTTGTGAACATCAGCTGCGTTCATCTGCATTTCTGTCTGTGGTTCTGTCTCGTGTTTTAGTCATTGTTTCTGAAATGGTTCTCATTACCGCTGAATGAAGTAGGAAAACGTAATACGGTCACTGCTTGAATATGAAGAGAACAGCAAAAGCCAGAGCCCTAGAAAGACAAGCAGCCCCAGTACCAGGACTCTGGTGGAGGCATTCTCCTTTGCTTTGGCTGCCCTGCATTTGAGGCTGTTTTTCCAAATAAGATGGAATGTTTTATTCACGATCTGATCACTCGTCCGATTCAATACCAAGCTGAAACATTATGCAAAATGTGGAAAGGGGTACAGAAAGTCACTGGGATCCCAAATCTTAAATTCCAGCAAAGGATCAGACAAGAAAAAATGGTGACTATGGTGCTAATGCTGGAAGGAAAGGGCTTAGAGAGATGCTCCATGCAACGTTCGCAGGGAAAGACCTCAGGCTTCAGTACCAGAAAATATGGGGATGGGAATGGTAAAATATTGCCAACAGCATATGTGTCATAATATTTATTTACAAAAGATTCAACAAAAACAAATAATTGTGGGAGGGTTGGTTTTGCTTCATTAATAGTTTATTTTAAAAATATATACTGAAAGTTGCCTTGGCCTCTGGAATGAGAAGGAAGTTCTCCGATTATTCAACACCAAAGTCAAATTTGCCTTCTATTTTTAAGTTGTTGTGAATTCATTGTCACGGGTCAGAAAACAATCATCTTCTTCTATAATTCAAAGAAAAGACTGTAAATTTCATTATCTAAGTTTTCCATTGTATAAAAAGACTCACTGAGAGGCAGAAGAGGAGTTCAGTGGTCAAAACTGCCTATTGCCCTTGCAGAAGACCTGAGCTTGCTTCCTAGCATCCACATTAGGGAGTCCACAGTGGCTGTAAGTCGAGCTCCAGGGGGTCCAGTGTGTCCAGCTTTGGCAGGCACTGCACTCACGTGCACACACCTACAGGCACACACACACCTACAGGTACACACACACTCCT